ATATGGGGTCTTTGCCTTGAAAATGACCTTACGGTACATGATACCATAAGGTCATTTTCAAGGCAAAGACCCCATATATCACCTATAGTAAAAGACTATTAGCTCTAAATATAGACCTATTTTCCTCAGCAATAAAAAATTTTAAGATCAAACTAATATCAGAAGAACTGTCTGTTTACCTCTTCTTCACTAGAAAAACACAACAAAGTATCCTGATTACCATTGCCTAAGATGTTTTAACAACCCCAAAGACATTACGCATCTACAAATTTGTATTTGAAATAACCTATGTCTAACAACTCTAATCACACAAGTGGTACAAAAAACTTCACAGAAATTAAAGATACCTTATTTTGACTTGGACACCTTCATTTAAGCCTTTATTAACTTTTATATTAACAAAAAAATACCTCTTGGGCTAATTACCAAAGAAACTCTAGCACCTTTTAAGAAAAACAAGGATAAACATAAATACACACCTCTTATTCATCATAATATTGTCATTGCAATATATAAAAAATATAGCTCATATCCAGAGCAACACAACACAACCCTATCTTCCTGCTACCTTCTTCTCTACAATCTCCTGTATTACATAAAACTGAACCACTAACACCTACATTTATACATAATAAGATTAACCAATTATAACATACAGACAATCTTTCCTTAGCTTCCTTATCAAAGACTAGAGGTCTAATGACCATTCTAGCAAAAAATTGGTTGAGAGTAAAGTAGCTCTTACCTCAATCTCCCATAGTATAGTTTTTTCTTCATGTATCTTTATATGTATATTTAACTATTAAATAAAAGAGATAGAGGATAGACCTCTCTTTAAAAAAAAAAATAAAAAAAAAAAAAATATATATATATATATATATATATATATATAATTGGCCGGGATAATGTCATCCGGTAATGGTTTTAAAATGCTTTCCGTCAGAAGGCACTAAATGTTACAATACCATGATTCAGTTGATAGTTAGTTGTCAACTAGTTAATTTTTTCAACTAACGATTTGGATTACTTGGATTACTACTTTGAGCGAAAGTACCTTAATAAAAAGTTAGCAGGCCATGATTAAGAAATCAATTTTTAAACAAAATATATCCAATATTAGAACCTTTTTATATATAGTCAGACCTCTCTAGGTATAACCACCTAAAAGCGACATCCCTTTAAATACAAATTTTAACTCTGGTCCAAATATATGCAATATCCCATAAATGCAAATTTTCTTACTGTCCTCTAAATGCAAGTTGTGGTAAATATGAGTTGCATTTAAAGGAGATTTGACAGTATATTCTGATATAAAATATGTTTGTGAAATATCAAGATAATTGATTTATTTTTATAAATGGCAATTGTTTTTTTTGAAGTTTGGAATTTAAGATTTTGCCACAAATTAGAATGAATATGTCAAATATTCACTTTTCATTGCTAAGTATGTATTGAACATACTGTCGCTTAATAATGAATATATATGAATGTATTCTTGTAGAATCGATCATGACGTTTTATCTTCTGATAATAATCATGATAAACTCCATGCAAGCAATAGTATATAATGTATAGTCGCGCTTGTTTTGAAATTGGGATAATTCTTTAAAATAGTTTATAATGTCAAATATCAATTCTACTACAACTGCCTCTTCATCTACTTCGACAATATATCGGTCTACTCCAACTCCCTTGAACAATGATTTACGAGAAACGAGCCCTTCATTAGGATCACAGAGACTATCTTCAAACGCTTCGAAAGCTTTGTCACCAATATCAAGTTTGCCAACTCGAAGACCCCGTACTTCAGTGTCTTCGCGTGTCACAAGTCGTGGGGAGTCTCATTCATTTATTGTTGCTATAATTGAAGGCCGAGGTATTTTGATATTTAAAAAAGTTGTTTGTGTTTCGAACATACAATTTGTGCTTTATTTTAAATTTTGTCAGGTGTTGCAAGCGAAGTTGGAATGTGCTTTATTGATTTAAAAACAAGCGAATGCATATTGTCCCAGGTATAGTTGGTAGATGGTTATAAAGTATAAATAAACTATTTTATTTAATTTTAATCCATTTGAAGATTGCCGATTCTCAGACCTATGTAAAAACCTTACATAAGTTGAATATTTATAATCCAGTCGAAGTATGGTATCAATTTAGAGTTTCGAATTTTCTCATCCTTTATTGCTTGAAAGATCTGCTGATTTTTTTTTCAAGATATTGCTGTCAACAACTGCAGTTGAACCTTCCAAATCAAAGTTATGTAAAATCCTTGAAGATAATATACCCACAGCGACAATCGTGCCAATTGGAAGGAAATATTTTAACGATGCTGCTGGTGCGGGATTTTCCTTTTTCCTATTATTTAATATTTTGTTCACACTTTAACACGATTACATTGTATTAAGGATTAAATTATATTAGACAAGTAAGCCATGAACATGTTTATTTTTTTTAATTAAATGTTAATGAATCGGATCATTTCTTTTTCTTAATTCAGTATAGTTTGGAAGAAGGTTCAGCTTTAATACTTGGGTTGACTTCCAAGTAAGCTTATTGTTAATATATATATTTTTTATAGATTTATAGATTTATAACGTTTATTAAATCAACAAAAAAAATAAAATAAAATAACACTAGGTATTATTGCCTGGCTGCGACAGCGGCAGTGTTAAAGTACGTTTCCGTTATATGAATATTGTATATATTATATTGGATTATTTACGACATTATTTGTTTAGGTACATTGAAAATACTCAAAATATTTTCTTTACAAATCATTCCATTCAATTTAAATATAAAGGATGTGAAGGTATGGTCTTTAAGTTATAATGAAAATATTATAGCAGAATATATGACTGACTATATATTACTTATAGGAACAATGATGATTGGTATTTTTTTTTCGATTACAATGATCATTCTCTTTCAGTATAATAGAAATGACATATATAATATGTTCGCGAACGTTTAGATTGTGTGACTGCTCGTAATCTTGAGCTTATTTGCAACATCGTCGATCCACATAGTAATCACTCACTTTATGGTACGCAAAGAAAACTGTGTTAGTAATTATTTTATAGTGTCTTATCTTTTTTATATCTGAAGGTGTCCTAAATAACACGTTTACGCCTATGGGAGGTAAGCATTTTCCGACATTTTTGATCGTATATAAGGAATTATAAGTAATAATCTTTCATTAATTTGGTCAGCTCGTTTGTTACGGACAAATATTCTTCAACCATTGAATGGTAGTGACTGTAGTCTATTTGGTCGGTCCCTTGTTTATTTATTAATACTTCGCTAACATATTTTTTATAATAAGACATTGAAACAATTAATATGCGCTTGGATTCGGTTGAAGGCATGTTACATTTTTGATCATTTATAATTTCCTAACTTTATAATAATTTTTTTCATGCAATTAATGAAAATTATATATATATATATATATATATAGAGCTTATTCAAAATGAGGTATTATTATAATTATAATCTTTTTTGTATGTAAACCTATATCTTAACGTAATTTCGTTTTTATTTACCTAGGAAACATTTTTCTCAATTCAAGCAGGTAGTTTCCACGATAAGTTCAATTAAAGATTGTATTTTAATTCAGAGGTTACAACGTCTCGTGGCTTTAAACCTTCCAATTTAATTTTTGTCATTCATGTAGCTCTCAAACCATTTCAAGATATTGATCATTTAATTACAGCTGTAATGAACCAATTTTTACATACGTTTTTGACAATTTTCTTATGTGTGCACACTTAAAATAAATAAAAATTTCCGTCGTTATATTATTGCAGCTAATCCAAGTCCCTCAAAAACCATCTATTAAACATGCTGAACAGAGTATTAATAATGTGATCATGCTTAAACATACATTGAAACTAATTGAAAAATTGAGAGAAGCATTGAGTGGGTGCAAAAATTTGTTGTGCGCAATACATAAGGTAGGATGGATATGTGTCGCTGTATTCGGAGCGATTACATAATCGAAAATTTTATGATATTCGCAGTTTCTTTCGGACCCAAGGTTGACAGTGCTCGAGGAACGTATAAATGAAGTAATAAATGAAGATATTACATATCAAAAAAGTTCGCTTGGACTAAGAAATCAACGTTGTTATGCTGTTAAGGTAAATATTTGCATAATTATTTAATTATAAGGTGATTGCATATTGACCGGTACTTTATTTAGGCGGGATTCAATGGATTATTAGACGTTGGCAAGTATAAAAATTGTATTACACGAAATAAATGCCTTATAGTTTCAATCTTATTTTACCATACTTTTAGCTCGACAAACTTACAAAGAAACAGTCAACGATATATACGAAAAAGTGGAACAATATAATAGTAAGTCAATGACGCAAAATGCGATAAAAATCTTTAAAAGCATTAATCTGACACAAAATATAACCTTTTTTTTAGATCAATATGATATCCCATTAAAAATACAGTTCAGTCCGACAACAGGATTTTATTTGTCTACTTCAGCTGAACAATTGGGCGAGCGCCAACTCCCTCTCGTATTTATCAATGTTAGCAAGAAAAAGAAGAACCTGACTTTTACTACATTGGAGCTGGTATACATTTAACCTATTATTTAATTTAATATTATATATTTGTGTTATAAATAGATTATAATACTCTAATTATGATTTCTCATGCTTTCAAGATGAAAAAGAATACTAAAATTAATGATTCTCTAACTGAAGTTTACTTGATGTCGGACAAGTATGAATTTTTATTCCATAAAATTTGATTATTTAATTGATTTCATCTTGCATAAATGTTTTATGATTCATAAGGACAATCGAAGATCTGATCCTAGAAATACGTGGTAGCATTGCTGTCCTTTATAAGGCA